CTCTGAACATCAAGACGGACAGTGCGCAAGTCACGAGTTTACACGCCAGCTGCGTACAATGGGTTGCGTGCACTTCATGGCACCTGTTAAACGTTTCAATCACACACGAACATGCCCGCTAAATATCCGTGCACTTGGCCCTTGAGCATGTTTGTCATCACACACATAAAAATTAGTGTGACCGAACCGAAGTTGGTACATTCAGCTCTCTTGGTAATGGTAGCATTGGCAAACAAACAGGGAGCGTTAATTATTGGAGAAATAAGGATAAGAAGACAAATAAGGGATGTAAATTACAAATAATGCATCTATAAACTCCATGCTAAAACTTATAAATATGTTCTTAAATAATGTAAAATTGCAACTTTCTGATGGTGAAATTGTACAGATTCAGCCACTTCACAGATAATTCCAATACTAGGAATTGAAAATATGTTTTGTGGCGACCTATTATTCCTGTAGATATGCGACTTCTATAATCATTATGAAGTCGGTTCTTATGAATATTAAAGGAACGTGTAACTGTGTAAAACAACTCTGGCACACTCGGGGGCTGGCCTGCAGTTGCTGAGTTCACTCTAATTCCGTACACGTATTCTGTACTACTTTTTTTTTTCCCCCCCCCCCCCCCTTAAGAAGGAAAGTTCGGGTCACGTCCCATTTCCCCCCTGTAGGTCACCGGTGCGAGCCACCTGTGTCCAAGAGCCATGTCAGCTACCCCTGCAAATCCACCCAGTGGAGGCTACTGCATTGTATGTCTTCCCCGACAGTAAATGTGTTTTGATTCTTTTATCCAAACAATCATTTTAAGCCTTCAACAGTCTTAAATTGTAACAGACAAACAAAGACTACGTAAGTGATAAAAATTAGGCTAAGTAGTCAATGTAGCGGTCTTTAAAACTCCTGCCTCGTTTTTCGAGAGGTCTCGGCTTCAAATCTCGGCAGGAGACCGGTTATCCTGACTGAAGTTGTTCGTGCTTCCCTATTCCAGCTACTGCGCAACTGGCGTGAGCAGAGACCTAGCAGCCAAGGTGACCTTGACTTGAGTGTTACGGTAGATGCTGGGAGTGTGTGGGGTGAATCTGGTTATGCTTTCATTTTTGTACCGAAGTACGTGGGATGCGTTTTAAATTATACACCCTGTATAATAAATGTTGTGCAATGCATTATTAAACGTTTATTAAAATAATAATAGCACACGCACGACCTTCATGAGACGTGTGGTCGCATAAATCAACCAGGCAGCAAAGGTTAGTAATAAGCACAAAGTCGGACGACAGCTGAAAGAAAGGTAGCTGAATAGAACGTCGTCAGTTCGAGTGACTAACGCAATTTCAAACTTGTAACACATCAAAATGAAAAACAAAGCACAGACGATATTGAATCTGGCGCGTTGCTAAGCGACCGCTCCAGCTGTCTCTCGACATACACACGGAACTTTCCATTATTTCCGGGTTATGCAACGAGTATTCATCGAATAGCAAGCAGGTCTAGTGGAATTAATGAGTCATAAATCTTATTTGGAACTGGTTGATTGGTTGATGGATCGAGTACCTGAGATCTTGGTTGTTGTCTGGGTATGGTTGAATGCTGGATTTCATATTAGAGTGGCTGGCTAGCTGTTGAGTCGTTAGTGAATAGTTGGATAGTTGGCTGACTTCTTGATAGTTCGATGGGTGAATGAAAGGTATAAGGTGTTCTGCACAATATATAACGTAGATCATTCTTGCACTAATTCCATTCTAGGTCATGCATTCCCCCCCCCCCCGGTAACAGCAATGAACCCCCGAGTCATGCAAGTTGACCGCCCTTGCTACAATCACGACAGATATGGACAGACACACAAAGTGAAGAACACCTAAAAAGCAAACGAGGAATGCGACTACAAAGTTTTATTTACTTTCTTTATTTAACGACGCTTTAAACAAATCAGATCAGATAGCGTGGTAAGATAGAATGATTAATTCTATTAAATAATTGGAAAGGATATGGAATGTTAATGGCCCAAGGGAGGGGCGTTCCATCATTTACATATTTAAAACCACGATAAAATCTATTAGGATAGTTGATGTATGAACTCGGTATTTTCCGAGCACGAAAAGTGAGTGTTGACGTTAGGCATGATAGCATTAGTGCGCGTGTTTGATATCGGCAGACCCACATTCTGCAATAACCATTGTGTTTTACATAGTTTGCACTGATGATGATAGTCTTAAATAAAGACTACTTGAACTAGCCCGGAGAAACTCGGGAGAACCATCATTCAGGACAATAGGTGTTCGGGCACAGATTCGAACCCTGAACGTCTCAAATAAAATGTATGAGTGCTAACGTATTCACCGCAACTAACGGTTCTCGGGGTTACAAGGACGTAACTAGGAACAGTCTACTTCATAGCAAATTTAGCTCGGAAACTCAAACACCTTTGCCCCGAATGGGATTCCAACCAGTGATCCAGAGCTTTTCAGGGGCCTCATATGGAAAGAATAATCCGATAATCCCTTTTAATGTAGTGTTCTAACACGGCTCGGTGGAGCAAACTGGATCGTTATTTGTGAAAGTCATAGAGCGACATTTTTCTCTCTCAAATAAACGAGGTGCCTGCGGTTTGCATGCAGATATGAAGCTGAGCCTATATTTCCAGTTGACATTGATTTATCAAGAACCTGTTGACAACAGCAATGAGGTAGACACATGCGGTCATTTGTTTTCATAGGAGCGAAGTTTCTTCAAATCGAACGAAGCTACGGGTTCTGAAACGCTTTCAACCGCTCACTATTTTCCGTTTCCGAGTTTTACGTAAATACAGCACCCATTTTCAGTTATCTTTTCTCTTAATTATTTCCATTCGTGTTTTCGTCTACGTGTATCCTAATCTATAAACACATACACAAAAGCGAGAACCCAAACATTAAATGTTAATTTGTAAGATAAAATTACTTTCACTTTCGCCCATCCGTCCGTATGTAACATCGATCAAAATACCTTAATGATATTCCATCAGAAACAATATTACGAAAATATTCTACATTTTCTTGAGCTGCTTTCATTTTAGTGTTATCTGGTTCGTTTTTTGGGCCAATTTATCAAGAATTTAAATGTATTTTGGAGTCCATCTTTTAATTATTTTACATATTTCGAC